TTGACGAAATGGAGATTTTCCTATTGAAGCCCACAGAGCAAATCAACCAAGACATTTGTCGGTGAGCAACTCAGAACGCAGATGCTTTCCTGCTTAGAAATTTGAGGAATAAAGGGTCGTATCGAATCGAAGTATGGAGGAACTGCAAGCTTCATACAAAAGTATAAAGGGAAGAGATTTGACATAGAATATACAGGAAATGGAGCTGTTAGTATGAAAATGTTTCAGGAACGAGTTGAGTTGAACAACACAGAGGAAATAGCGAAGCAGACGCGCGGAAACCCCGACAGGGCCGCCGGTCGCGCGATGGGCAATGCGCTCGACGCCTCTGGGCGAGAGCCGCAAAACCTCAAACACAAACCGTCACCGCCCCCCCCCCCCCCCCCCTCCCTTAGTTCCGTGCTCTTTGAAAATCCGCTAAGCTGCAAGCAGTCTGTCGCAAGCAACACTGTCCCGCATCAGACACAAGGCCCCGGCAGAGACGCCATTGAGTGAAAGGCTTTTCGATTTCGTCGTGCTAGATGACTCGCCTTGCCTTATTCCCACGGCTCCTGTTCATGTGAGGTTGTCGCTTTGTAGGTCTTATGATGTTTCGACACAGGTATGCTTTGTGAGTAATGTGCGATAATGTGCGTTTCACCGCTGTGCGTCGTTTCTGGCTGTGTGCCAACGGCCGTCACAAGATGCGACGGCATTTTGCCAAGTGGTCAACACGACCAAAGGCCAGACAACGTTGCGCTTTGGAGTATTTCCGCGGCCTCGGGCCTGGGAGCTTAGGTCCTGGTGGCCCAGTCGTCTTAGCATTCACGTTATTTGTAAAAATTTCGATCTCTTTCCTAGGAAACCTTTGAGCTGAGCTCTCGACATGTTGTGGTTGTACCTTGCTTCATGGGAGGACTGCCTAAAGCATGGGCAGGGTTGAATCAACATCAAACTGCGCTGCTCAAAAAAAAGGGCGACAGCTGGCAGTAGCTCGGCCAACATTTTGCAAACCTCCCCAGCCTCCTGGAGCTTTTCAAGCAAGGTATGTACCTACAAGCGGCCCAAGTCCGGGAAAGGAGGGACGACTCCGCTGGACCGGGGCAAGCGAAGCAATTGGGCTTCATTTTGTAGACGGCCTCAGGATGTAGGGTTCAGGAGTTGATGGAGGGGCGTGCGCAAAGCAGTGGTGATGATACCACGTCGTTGCAGAACTGCCGTTTACTTGAAGATACAGGTGTCTGGTGGCGAACATTCGAATTGTTGGGTCCGAAGTGGGCATGAAGAGAATGCACGAGTCAGCTCAGTATATGCTATGTACGACTGGATGCCTTGTGCTTGGTTTAGGTTAGCCCACAGTGCCAAGCTAGACATCACCAGGGTCAGAGATCCCTAACCTTCAACTGCATACGCTACTGTACCGTTTTCAATGTGAAACGCCCATGAAGCTTTGAATCGACATTCCAAATCGTCGTCGATCTTGCATCCGAGACATCCGACTTGTCAGCATTCCTCATTTCATCTCATTTCGCCCGGAGGAACTGAAGCTATCCAAGTCTGTGACGCTGTCGCTACCCGGCTGTGGTGATGAGTGCTCGTGCCCCTATCTGGGGCTTCCAGAGAGGACATGCCTACAGGCCTGCAACCTTCAGCATGCTCAAATGCAGGCATTTTGTTCAAACAACCCTGCTGCCATTGCCCAAACTCCACATCCGACCTTTCCGAAAAGTCTCCATATTCCTGAACCCAAGACCCCAGGTCCGCATGTCCTACAACCCCCAGCACATCCTGACCCAAGGATTCTGCAGCAGCGCGGGATTAAGCCGCCACCGGATTGGTCACACACGGACCTGTGATTTGAGTTTCTTCAGGTGCAGCAGTGGTGGGGCAGTGGTGGGGTTCATGGGTGCCAAAAGGGCACCACTATGCACCACCTCGAACACATAAACACGTCTGACCTTACTAAGCCACTCAGCGCCACATAGCTACTCAGCCAGGTAAGTTTGAAGTCAGACGAGGGTCCCAATGTTCAGGGGATCTGGCTAAGCAGTCCAAGGGAAAGGATTTAAGGTCATTTTCCTAGTTGTGAGGTAGATCGGGCCGGGCGCACTTTCAAAGCCTGCTGGCATTGTATTGTTCTTTTATGTAGGGACTTTGCGCCCACAAGCAGCCGTTCAGAGAATACCATTTCGCTTGGACATGAGGAGGTGAACAGACACGTGCAGTGGCTATTGGCAATAGTGCCACGTCGCAGTCTTGTGCCCTTTACGCTGCGTGGTCACATCGCGATGCGCAGCAAAAGGACATGAAAAAGAGCGGGGTGGATGCCTTGACGTTGCAGCAAACAGCTTGGCGCTATTGGGTCAGGCTCAGGGTCTGCCTTACCGCACAGGACTATCCTGAAAGAAGTGGCAGCAAGACGGCCAAACGAGTTCCTTTCCAAAGCTGTTTGGCGTAAGGCATGTCTACGGGCTGGATACTCGATAGTTGCAAGGGCTTGGGTTTGGGGATGTGCTGGTACTGGCGCTCGTAGGGCTTAGTTGGCTTTGCAAGCCAGAGGTCAAAGCCTTCTCTCTGGACCTCAGAGACTTTATGGCCGCGCGTGGGCCCAAGGCAGGCAAGAAAAACGCATGTATGTGTATAGATAGTAGAGTACGAGTGTAATGCTTATTGTAGTTAATCAGTCCTTACCGCGCTTTGCGTTCGGCATTCATTCATTCATGCATTCATTCATTCATTCATTCACTCATTCATTCATTCAAGGAAGGACAGTTCTTTCGGTAGACCTTTCATGTAATTGTTTATCTGTATGTGTGTACTTTCTGCTTGTTCATTTCTCTCTCTTCGATTCTAAGAGCTGCGGCCAGCGCTCCCGGGAACGCGGTAGAACTTGAGCTGCGGTAAGGACAGAACGGCAGGGGCTCCTTCTAAATCTTCCAAGCTCGTGAGAAATTGCTAAAGCGTAAAACCCCACAAGCCTAGCCCCTATGCCCGAAAAAAAAACCCTAAATTCTGGAAACTCAAGGCTTTAAAGTCTGAAAGGCAACCGAGGGTGGGAGCTATTTTTTCCAAAGGTGTGCCCCGTGCCCACGCCTCCTGCATGTCCTGGCTTTCAGGCTCCAGTATGCCGATCATCGCAGCATCGGTGCTTTGAGAAGTGCTTCGGGTTCATGTGATATCATGTGATGCGCGTAGACGGCAGGCTGTCTTTGCCTACGCCTGAATCTATCAGCCGCTCGAATCGCTGTTGCTTCCATACCCCGAAGAAGACTTTTCACAAGATGGCTGCGATTGCACCCTCCGCGCCTCCCAGCCCGCAGCTGCGCTTGCGGCCTCTGGCGCGACATGTGTGACGAGAGCTTCGAAATCATGGAGGCAGATGGAGGCCATGGGATGGGTTTTGAGCGATTTGGGGCAGGTTGCTGAGCCTGAGGGCTGGGCTTTCGTGAGGTCCAGAGATCCAGGGAGTGTTTTGACAGGCTTGATTTCCACTTCCGGGGATGCGGGTTAACCTCTGAACTTGCGGTATGCGGCATTGGGCAGGCAGATGGCCTAGCGGTTTGGGATTTGACTAGATGAGTTTCTGTTTCTCATCCGCCTTTCGTCAACTAGTCATAAAGCACGGGGGCAGGGCCTATGGTCATGTAGCGGTTGTGGGTTACGACGCGATGTTTTGCCTTCGTGTTTGCGGCGGCGAACACATTTGCTGTTCAGAAGTGCTAACGTGGGATGCGGCTGCGGGGGGGCAAAATTCCTCGGGCTTGGTGCGAACAGGGTTTCTGATGCTCAATATCCATGGTTGGGCTCTTAATTTTTCTAAAGCGCGTCCCTCAGGCGTTCCAAATTTTAGCCCAGCGTCAGCAGGGAATGCACGCTCTTCCTGGTATCTGTAAGGAGTCTTGGGACCGGCCTTTCTAAATAGCATGATGGAGACAAAGCGGGAAACAAGACATGGGGAGCCTTCCAGATGCGTTCGTTCATGCTCATGCTTGCTCCCATGCAACTCAACATGACATAACTGGCAACAGTGGAACGACCGAACGGCTCCAAGCGCTAGTCTAAAACCTACCAGCTCGAAACGCCGCAGCTGAAGTTGAGTAGGTGTATATGCATGTTCTATAGGTCTACAGGGGCTCCTGTGTTTGCGCATGCTTAAACAGTGTGCATCCGAGTTAGAGATTTTGGTTCAAGATCAACTGGCTCAAAGTCAAAAAGGCTTTCAGGCTTGGCCCGGTTTGTGCCTTGATGCAGATGCAGCATTCCGCGAACAAGGCAGAGCATTGTCAATTTGCAGGCCTTGCGGCACTGTTTTGTTTAGATTTGTCCAAAGCCTGAGCGTAAGACCTGAAAGGAGTAGGAGCGGACTTGGTCAAGTGAAGTTGGCCGCATGGCCTTTTTTGGCGGGTTATGTAGCGCAAACAAGCCCGGTTTCGAGTCCGAGCTAGGCGCAAGCTTCGGGTTTTGATGCAGCTGGGTCGGTTTACGCCGATTTCCTGGAAGCCAGGCTCCTGTAGACTCTGTAGACTTGAACTGTTGTTGCCTTCCTCGGCTGAAACCAAAGCCCTTCAAAACTGAGCCTGCAAAACACGTCTCAGCCCTGCTAAAGAAACAACAACGCGTCATCTAACTGCATAGGCGCGGAAGGCTATAGATTATATCGGGTTATATCGGGTTAATAACCTCATTGAACCTAAGCCCTCCCTCAACGCTAAACGCGCACGCTGTTTTAGCCGGATCCGTGCCTATGGAGCTTTGCTCAAAAAGGGCCGAATCTGAGATGACCAGGTAACGGAGATGACTATCTTGCGGTCGTTTGGCAAACCCTCCCCTGGACCCTGAAACCCATACCCTCTAAACAGCACATATGTTGACAAGCCATAAGCCATTGGATGAGATGTACAGCTTCCGAACCTACCACCATTCGCACTTCTGTCTTTGTTATATGTAGGTGTATTGTCATCCCATCGAGTTGAACGTGGCCTGTAACCTGTTTGCCTCCTCGCGACCTTTATGCTGTGCCTATGGACGACGGAGAGCCCACGCACATCATTGACTTCAAGCTGCCTTTGCATAGCGAGGATCACTATCTCGAGGGCCAACATGTGGACAGCCCGGCGACCACATTGTGGAACTACTGCGTGCTGCTGAAGGTGTACCCACGAGGCTTTGGATTTACGTCCCAAGGGCCAGGGGTTGCCACCAAGCTTGTCTTCGTGCCTATCTACACAGACTCCGAGGACACCCTGAACAGTGCCCTGTCTGGCAAGACAGACGAGCTCATGATTGGGGATGTTCGATTTCGACTGACTGCTCGGTATGCCGGCCAAACAGAAACTCGGAAAGGCTCCCCACAGCGACTTCGATGTGGGAAATGCAATGAGTGTTTTACTCTGAAGCATGCCGTTTGCAAGTCTGAAGCTCTACTCATGCCCCCGAAGTACGTGCCTGGCGAGTACCTGCACTGCTTGGTAGAGCTTCTTGGTGATCCATAGTGATCCACGGCGCAACTACAAGCAGCACTGGAAGCATGCTTGGCAACCTAGGCTTTGGTTTGATCCGAAAGCTCTGGGCTACGAGCCTAGCAAGCGCCGCCGCCTGGATTATGGAAAGGACCTGTGGCGAGACATGAAGCCCCTGGGCCGCAAATACAGGGCGAGCACAGCAAGCTCCTGGGCCGCACGCAGCTGAGGTTTACCGACATGACAATGCGTGCAGGCGATGATGGAGAAGACATCCCTTGCCACCGGGCAGTTCTTGCCAGGAGTTCTGACGTCTTCGACCGAATGCTCAGCTCTCAGATGAAGGCATCTGCTGAGTTGCTCTGTGCTGTAGCTGCATCATCTTGATGTGGTTTCATCTTTCCAGCAAGAGTAGAATTCTCATCAAACTTCATCCCCAACACTGCCTTACCCCTTGGGCAGTGTGCAGGTTTGAACTTGCAGGTTAGAATGTAGGTTAGTTGTCACGCCAATGCCACCGTGGCTGATAGGAGGGCACTGAGCGTTGCATCATCATCCGCGATGCGGCGTCTGGTACGCTGAACAAGCTGCTGGGCTCTTACCCGAGCAAACCGAGTAGTTTCAGCATGTTTCAGCCTATTGCCACGCCAGAATCCCACGCAGCATGATACTAGCAAAGGCCTCACAGCGTAAGTTATGTGATTCGGAGGAAACCCAGGGGATCGGAGAAGGCCATGCTGGCCCAAGTACGGGCCTATTGTACCTGACAAGCCGAAAGCTAAGGCTCCTTGAACATATCTACACTGGTGAGGCGCCGGACGCTTCCCATTCTTAGCATCGCCATTTATGATTAGGCAGGTCTTCCAGCCTGCTACGGCTGTTGCTGGAAAAAGCCCTGCCTTGACACCCCTGTATGCCCCAAAGCCCGAACTTACATTGGCACGTACCGCTCAAGTTTAGGACGAGGCACTTGATTGCTGAAAGGATCTGGGATTTGAGGCTAAGGCGCAGCGAAGTTAGGGGAGTGTGAGCATCCAAGGAAAGCACTTCTGTGGAAGAGCTCGGTGAGTTGATCTGCTTGGGCAACCAGTAACTGTGTCCTGCAAAGCTTAAACTTAAGCTTAGGTAGGTTTCCATAGAGCTTCCTAAAGCTACAGCTGCTGGAGCTGCAGTGCGTCAGGTATGGGCTGGCGCAACTCGCCGAGTCCTGTGCGGCGAGCCTGTCAAAGATGATGTGCCCAACAAACGTGGTTGCGGTTCTTCGCGAGCTTCCCGCTTAGGACATTTGTTGTTGTGCTCAGTGCATTTGGCTTCGGGTGGTCAGCTCTTTCTGGCGTTTTCTGTCTTAGCGTACGTGCTTCCAGTCTACACACGTCGCAAACAAGGCTACGGAAGCATCGTGTCATCTCTCTCATCCACACGATCCTTGAGGAAGCCAAAGTGAAGGTCAGCCAAGATCCAGAGCTCGTTGCGGCACTTGTTGACGCTATCTGAAAAAGACCCAATTCAGAGCGTGGACGCGGCCGAAAAGGTCTTGGGTCAGGCCGCCTGCTGCCTCCGTGTATATAGTCTGTTCAGTAGATGGCTTCCGGTTTAGACTCACTGGTAGCCGCCTGGACAAACGTGCTTTCGCAAAAGCCCTTCTGGAAAAATGTGAGGGCTCTGGACTGGACGGCTTCCTTGCTTGCAGCAGCTCATGCTGCAAGGCAAGGCAAAACTTGTTTGTGCCAAGTCTAAAGAAGATCCTAAGTATAAATCTCCCCCATAATTATCAAAATATCTAATTAATAGTCGGGCGATAATAATGTAAAAATATATAAGGCAAATAAAGATTCTTATTTATGTTGAAAATAAATATTCATAGCAAATTGATTAATTATCAGATCCAAATATAAGGATTGATTGGTAATATCTAGGTCCACTCTTACGATAAGATTATTGCCCGAAAATTCGACAATGTCGATTTTTGGTCTCTATTTTATGATGCAATAATGATATTAAGTTTCTTAAGGTTAGAGCCCAACCCGGGGCGATGAATGCCAGACTGTTTAGCCCAGGTCCTCATGTTTCAAACCCAGGACTGCCACTGTATAGTCACAGGGTTAAAAGCTGCAGGGGGGTTTCTGCAGGGCCTGGGCATCTTCAGCTTCAGGATATACACATCTCTTGGGTTTGGGATATGGTTGCATTGGACTTTGGGTTGAAAGCCTACCATGAACGAAAAAGGCTAGTTCGAGGCTTCTGCTCCCGCTGCCTATGTGCTGCCCAAGACTTTTACCCAGTCTCATGTGTTTAAGAAGAGTCGAAAGCAGTCATCGCAGGGCGGGGGAGAAAGAGAGACGGAAGAGATGAGCACATGTGCACGAGGTAGTTCAATGAGTCTGTTGTGAATGTTGCATGCGCCCAATGACCCGCGTGCTTCTGGTTCTGCTGAGCCCGCTCACCGGCCTTGCCGATAATTGCTTTCCGGCAGCAATAGAGCGCTTGTGGCTTCATGGGCCTGGGTCCAACGGCTGCAGCTTTATGCGATGTAAGATGCTCGTGGCCAGAACTGACCTTTAATACGAAAAACGGGGCTTAAGAAGTGCGCTATGGCATCGGGGATCAACAGCTTCGAGGGTGAAGCTTAAACTTATCGCGGGCAAAACAAAGAGTTCTGTGGTGAATGTGGCCAAATTTCAGATCGAATCAGTTATCGGACTTTCGGCGGTTCTTGGCTTTGTTGCGTTTTATCACATCTTCGATCATCTGATCATCTTTGCCTTTCGCTTGGCTTTTGCCGGCTAAGCAAGAGCCCTGCTTGGTCCAGAGAAACATCCAAGGCAAAGGGCAAAGGGAGCAAAAAGGGCAAGCACCCAGGCGGGGCGGTGTGGACGCCTGAGGCAGGTACTTTCAGTGCTTCATGGAACCCACGTAATCTTGCCTTTCTGCACAAAGCGGTGCCTTCTTTTGCGCGGTTAGCCTGTGTCTCCTTTCGACACTAGAATGGTTACCTGAAAACCGTGTCATACAATGAAATCGGGGAAAAAACCTATGCAGAACAATGAGGACGGATCCCTGGCCATCCTGTGCGTTTGGTCCCAGTAACTAGCCACCACCATCGCATGTTTTTCTAGGAAACGATTCGCCGAGTGCAAAAACTTTGCAAACTCACGCTGGGGCTTTCGCTGCGGTGTGCTTCGAAGGTTGCAAGGTTGCATGCCCAGCAAATTGGGCTCTTCGCACAGAAGACTGACGATCCCATTGCAACCGGTATGCCGGGTATGCTGTCTCACGTTGAATGTGCTTTTGACCCCTCGCCCGCGACTGCAGCTATCGTTAACGGTCATTTCGGACTCTTGTTTCATGAGAGGCTTGGTCCACGTCTTTGCTGGGCATCATGCTCTCAGTTCTGGTGTTGCGGGGGCGGGGTTGATGCGAAAACTGAGAACCCATACTACGTCAACTGTGTATGTATTAATACATATATATATAGATACAACAAGTATGTATACATGTTGTGCCGTGTCTTCAACCATGTCCAACCTAAGGGAGATGCGACCTTCCGCGCATCAATGTAGAACAGCTGACATTGGACGAGTTCGCCACATGCCGCAGGCTATGAGGTTGGCCATCGATTCGGGGATGCATGGAGCAGTTCGTAAAGCTGGATGGATTTCAGAGATTGCAGAGCTTTTGTTACTAAGAGACTTTCCAAACTTCAGGCTGCGAGGCATCGTTTTTTGCATCTTAAAACCGAACGAAGTCTTAAACTTAAGCTTTCAAAGCTTTGCTTGTAGATTTCACGGAGCATTCAGCACTACTGCTGCGGGCAGTGCATCTTGTGCATGATCAACGCCCATGGCTCAGAAGTCCTCGATAATTAACACTGACAGTCAGACTGAACAGTATTTGTGCCCGTCTGGCGGCTGACCTGCACATTTCAATAAATTTCATGGCTGGAGCCTTGAAATGTCGAGCCGAAAGTGGAGACCTTGTAAAGAGCCCGCTAAGGTCTCCAAGTGGCGGGGGTTGCCTGTGCTGGTGACCAACCTCCACTTTGAGGTCCATAAAGCTAGAAAGTAGGGGCCCAGTCTGTTGAAGATGCTATGCCAGTGTGAGAAGAGTGAGTATTCCCACGTCTGACTGATACCAGTGACCAATGCATGTGACTCACCTTTCTCAGTTTGTACCGGCTTGTTTCGTGAAGAACGGCTATCATGACTCGTAGTGGCTTCTTGTAATGGCTTCTTGTAATGGAGGTCGGTGTACCGACAGAACCGCTTGCGTTTGCGGAGCGCTTTGGTTCAGAGGCGCGCGGGGCAAACCACAATTTCACTTGTTAAGCTTGCGCACTGGCGTATTCAACGCGCGCGCACTGCGCTCAGACTGAAGATCTTGAAAACTGAGGTACTTACAATGAAGTCATGCATTGTAAACTCGCACAGAAATCACAGTATCCGAGCCTCGTGAGCTGGGAAATTAGTGAGGCGTTGGCAACCTTTGCCTCTTGCAAGGTGGTGCAAGTCAGCGATGGCCGCAACGAGGCCATTGCTGGCAGTTGTTTCTATGTAATGCCCGGAGCTTCACAGTTCTTCCTGGATCTCTGGACATACCCAAAACCCTAAAACCTCCCGAAATCCCATTGCATCCACACAATCTCACACAGGGATCTCACAAGACCCCCGAAGTCCAGAATCCTAAACAAGCAACAAAGCCCAAAGTACCTCCTTGCGTAACAAAGGAGGGGGCGCGACGACACCGCAGCATGAAGTTGGCGAAATATCTCTCAAGGCCGAGTATTCGAGCGGTTTTCAGTTCGGGCCTTCTGGAGGTTTGAATTGGGTTGCGGCCATGGGTTGGAGGTGCAGGTAGCCTCTGCACTCAGGTGCTGCTACCCTACCCGGCCCTACCAGGGGCAATGAATATACGAGGTTCGTTTCAGAATTTTGAACGTAGGAATTGAGGGACCCTCTGCCGAATATGTATACATATATATCTATATATGATTCAGCCCCGGCGGGCCCCCCCCCCCCCCCCCCCCCCCCCCCCCCCCCCCCCAATGGTACCCCCCCCCCCCCTGTGGTGTGGTTGGGGGTTCGTTTTAGGGTTTTAGGGTTTAGGGTTTAGGGTTTAGGGTTTTAGGGTTTTAGGGTTTTAGGGTTTAGGGTTTAGGGTTTACGGTTTAGGGTTTTAGGGTTTAGGGTTTAGGGTTTAGGGTTTAGGGTTTTCCCCGCGGATGGGGTACTAAGATGATCCCCCCCCCCCCCTGTGGTGTGGTTGGGGGTTGGTTTTAGGGTTAGGGTTTAGGGTTCAAGGTTTTAGGGTTTAAGGTTTAAGACTTAAGGTTTAGGGTTTAGGGTTAGGGTTTAGGTTTTAGGGTTTAGGGTTTAGGGTTTAGGGTTTAGGGTTTAGGGGTTTAGGGTTTAGGGTCTAGGGTTTAGGGACCGTAGAGTAGGCTTGGGGGGGGGGGGGGGGATACCATGGGGGGGGGGGGGCCCAGGACGCTCGACGCTGAACCATATATATACATATGTGTATTTGTACTGTGGCCGTGGAATCTCGGAAACCTGCAACAGTATTGTATTGTAGCCAACAGCTTCAGACTTTGAAGCCGCCAAGCTTGGCAGGCCAGCAAGTGTCAGGTTCGTTGGGGACTCAGCAGAGTCTGTTTTTTCGCGCATGAGGGTGGCCCGCCTCGCCTGTCTCGGCGCAACTTGCCCCATGTGACCAACTAGGGTACATTGGAACCTCAGCATCGGCATGTGGGGATTTCCGCTGTTCTGCAGTCCCACTTATCCCAAGGCACTCCCAACCTATCAACAAATCGGCCGAAAAGTCCGGACAGCCAAACTGCTGCCGGAACAGTACAACCAGATTTACTGGAAATTCCCACCAAGAGTTTGCAGAAAGCCCGAAGCCCCAAACCCCCACCCCGCCTCGTGCACCCGAAAGTGAAAACTCAAGCCTTAACATTTCAATTCCGACATTGATCAGAAACCGGCAAGCCACCAACGACCCCTAAGCTTTCCAAGCCAGCATTAAAATGTAATTGCAAACGCAATCCGCCCTTTGCGATCTTTGTCGAGGATGGTCGGAGCTCTCTGCCGACCATCTTTCTGTCGGACTTGCCACTGGGCGTTTTTCGTTGAGAGCTTTGACAGCTTTTAACGGTGCAACCGTAACGCCCACAGTCTGAGATCCCGAAATGCATTGTAGACCTCACCACTCGAAAGCCTCGAAGTGTGAAACGGCTGGGGTACAACTCAGCGAAATCAAACCCAGAGAAACCCAGGCTTACGCCGCTGCAGCGCCAGATTTGGCAGAGCGTCCGGCTGCCTCCTTTGCTGGAAGGCAGCTGTGGCCCCCAAAGTTTTGGAAAGCCACTTTGTTTTAAAAGCGGGGGCTTTTTGACCCTTGTCCAGCTCACTAACCCTACCTGACAAACTGAGCAGTAACTGAGCTGTCTACGAACGAGCCCGATGGAGCAACAGACCCTGCTCAAAGACTCGAAAGTACGGCATGACAATTTCTTAAGACCGGTTATGTCCGGACCTATGAGCGAATAGGGCGCGGGCGACTGACGACTCGAAGAGCATTCTCGTCGTCTGGCTTGCTTTCCTCTTTCTCTTTGCCTTGCATCGGCCACCATCGGTCTCGCCTTCTGTCCTGCTTGTCTGGCCCCAATGCTCATGCGCAGGGGCATTCGGAGACAGAATTCAGCATGCAAATATTGCTGCAGCACGGCATCGTGGGACAGTCGTGTTGTTGATGAGGTTTCATGTTCAGGACGAGGCAGGTCCACCCCCTTCTTGTTGGACGCCCAACAGGGGAGCAACTCCAGGAGCTTACAACCTTCCACACAGCCTTCATCGCATGTTTATTAAGAGTCGACCCCCTCCACTCACACAGTCTCGTCATCCAACCATGCAGGCCAGATCCATGTCGACCGCATCGTATCTACACTCCCAGTTGTACACGCAGCAGCCATTGGTGATTTCAGATCACCTGCACTGAGGTCGGCACCCTGCTTGCAACAATGTTTGCTGTAGAGTCGGAGGCACCGGCTCAATTCCAGGCCCTCCTGCTGTTCCATCGATCGGCCCAGAAATCGCTTCTGCCAATCGGGCTACAGCAGGATCCACCCCATTCATCAAAACTCCCATATGTCTGGCCTTCCTTTGGGTCTCCAGCCAAAATGCTGCAGCCGTGGCTGGGTGAGCCCAGGAGCCTTGGGCTCCACAACCTCAAGAGGACTGGCCTTCTGAGGTGCGTTCTAGTTAAAGTAAAAATGGCGGTCCACGTTTGTTTTCCAGGTAAGGTTGTGGGGGTTCATAACTCAGCTTGAGAATTCAACACAGCCCCGAAACGGAACCAAAACACCAGCCAAACCTGAGTTTCGATTTGTTGCTAGGCCAAAAAAGCGCATGCAACCTTGCGCAGGCTTCTCAGCAAGACCGATCCTCTCAGTCGGAGTCAATAACTCAGGACATTACCCGGTTCAGGCATATTGGGTTTGGGAGGCTTCGGGGCATTTCAAGTTTGGACTCGCAGTGCTTCTGGGGACGGATATTGCTGGTTGTCAGATTGCGCCATGGCCATTTCAACTGCCTCATTTCGTCGTGTCAACAAGAAGCGCCACCGGTGTGCACCGGTGCGGGCTGGGGAGATTTGCAGGTGAGAGCTGCTGGATGGGAGTACGGCGCAGCACGAGCACATATCAAAAGCCTTGGTTCATGGCAATGCGACTCCGAGGCTTTCAAGCGCTCAGAACCTCTTGGGGCAGAGACTCATGTCGGGGTCACCCCAACGAACAGATTTTGCCAGACGCTGCTTGAAGATCTTGGAAGGAGAGGACTTCCATGCCCATGAAGAGACTTGGCTTTGGCTGCTCCATGGCGCACCACGGCAGCAGGGCTTCATAAAGGGCGGGGCTCTCTGGCCTCTTGGCACCCGGAGTGCCAGAAATCACTTTCTCTGATGCCCAGCGGGAATACGACAGGGTTTAGGGTTTAGGGTTTAGGGTATCATCACTGTCACTGTCAGTTGCTCGTTCTGAAGCTAGAAGCACGTCTCAAAGCCAGGAACACTCCGGCAGCGAACTCGCGTGCAAGGCCCGTAAACCGACAATTCGATATCCTAGCGTATGAGATTTTGAGCTTTTTGCCCGAGCTTCAGTCAGCCTATACAGCGCTACCGCCAATTCCAAGGTCAAGGACTGGTGGGTTGCCGATTCTGGTCTCCTGCCGAAATTGAGGCCTCCAAGTGGTGATCTACTATTTGCTTAAGAACCCCCCAAAATACCAAAAAAAACCATCCCTATATTACCCTTTATAAGGAATCGGAAGAATGTTTTTTTCTTTGTGGGGGGGGGGGGGGGGGGGCGGGGGGGCTCTTAAGCAATTCATAGTGATTGGGTTCGTTAGAGAGCTTGCCCTGTGGCATAGCGGGATGTCGAGCCATTCCCTGAGCATCTCTTACTTCGACTGGCAATCACAACAATCATTTTAAGGCGTTTCGGTTGATTTGGCATTGAGAACGTGCGAACTCAATAGACATCCCACGCTTTTGCGTGCAGGCTCAGACTGAATCTGCGGCGAATTCTGGAACATTTTGCACATGTTGAAAATACTGCTGTTTCCAGGCTCATGGATCTGCTGCCTCTGTCTGACGAAAACCTTGTGTTCAGTGCCTGTTGTGTTTTGACATTTTGTATGTTCTGTGCCTCTTCATTTGGTCAGGGTCAAACGATCAGGATAGCATGTTGGGGCACAGCGGTACAAGCCCTTCACTGGTGCTCGCCCCCAGCTTGCCGGGGTCGGCGGATATTATTGTATTGTTATTGTCCTGCATAACATCCAGCAAAATGCAGCATGTGATCTTCCAGACTGAAGCGTGCCAGAACATCGAGCGGCCTCAACGACAACATCCAAACTGTCTACATGTGCTCAAGCATCGTTTCGGAAATCATCAAGTTCAGACATCAAGATTTGACACAGGTGCTAGCTCTGCCCCGAATTGCTGCCACGGTGCTCCCGCCACATTCAAGAGCAAGACATGTGTGAGTACAGCAGAAGCCATCGCCCAGAATCGCCCAATGAGAGCTTCCATACCTTGGGGCCTTGGGGCATGGCTGCAGCATGGCTCTCGACATGTTGGGACCGAGCTTCCTCTGCAAAGGCAGCATTGAGAAGAAAGCTTCTGCGCTGCCTCGCGGCAGCGTGGCTTTTCGTGCCGTGCCATACGTGCTTGAACTGTATTTGCCGGGCTTGTTGCCCACCCCACTTCTCCCTACCGCTCAGGATTTATTGGTGCGACCCTAGCTGTGGTTGTGGGGTCGGTACCTGTCTCTGCGGCTTCGCACCTGCCACTGAAACGACATCGGACATTCGGAACAGCTTCATCTAATCTTCTCGCCGGGGGCGTTGAACAGAATGTTAGAGTCAGAGCCGTTACGGTTTGTCATGGCTTCAACAGCCGAAACGAGCCACCTTTGTTTTAAACATTTTTGAATCTGTCGACTCCACAAATCCTGGCAAGACTCAGCGCTTCCAATTTGCAAATGCGTTCTAATCATGTAGGCTTCTCGTATAGATTTTTCTTCAGGTTGATCCACGGAGGGAGCGCCACACAACAGACTGTCCATTTTTTCATGATTCTCAGTCTTTGCTCAGGGGCTTGGATCCCTGCCAAGAGCCAACCCTGCCTGGCGTCCGCTTCTGCACCCAGCGAGCGGGTGAGGTGCTTTTTTTCGGAACCCAGGCACGGAGCGAGTCTGGACACTTTAGGCTTAGGATCTGTTGGGATCAGGAGGCAAGGTAGTGAGTTGGGATCAAGTGGGTCAGTGTTTCGGAGTGTCCAGGTTGGAAATTGGATTTTAAGTCCTGATGACTTGGGGTGCCGGGCTGACGGCTCAAGGCTTCAAGCGGCGTGGTGGTGTTTGCCACCTCCTCGCCAGAACTTACGTATGCCGAAACAACCTTCAGTCTGCAGACCCCGAAATCCCAAATTCTTAAGGCCTGCCTTCAAATTGTTAACCCTACACAAGAACTTAACGCTGAATTCCCATGACAAAACCTCCCTCCCTCCCACCGATTGACTCAATCTGTTTGGGAAAGGGCCCGGAATGTCAATTTGCAGAGGCCTCTTGTCAACCAACATTCAGAATAAGGAATAGTAATAATATGAATTTTAATGACTAGTCCCTCGGGGATGGCGCGGCAGAGAGAGAGAGAGAATGACACTAGTAGCAGGAGCCCGACTTTTTTCAGAGGCGGCATTGGACATTGAGGGGGGCTATCAGTCTGGGGACTTCTTTCCTAGAAAAAGTATTGCCGGGGGGACTGCCCATGGCAAATTCAAATTAAGCCTGTGGGCAGCTATGGGTTTGAGAATGTTGAAGGGTCGGGGTAAATGCGCGCCGCATAAACACAGATTTTGCTTGGACAAGCTTTTGCCAGAAGTAGCTGGAAAGAAATTAGGGAATGGCACCTGATGATGACACTTTGACCAGGCACATGCGACCTGCAACCGAGCGAGAATTGTGTGACTCAGCATGACATTCGCACTTAGCTGTTCCATGGGCTCACATGTGTTGAGTGGAGTTTGGATGTCGGCAGGTGTAGTTTCATGTATATCACAGCAATGTCCGATGGACAGGCCACCTTGCTTGGACAGAAAGAACTCCCTAGAAGCTTCACAGTCAGTGAGCTACAGAGGTTGGGCCTTGGTGCACAAGGTCGCACCGACACCTGGCCATCGATTCTTCGAGCTGCTCAGCTATTTGCAGCTTTAGCGTGATAAGATACGTGAGAGGAGGTGGTTTGTTTCAAGGGACTTGGGGACCCTAAACCCTAAACCCTAAACCCCAAGTTGGGGTCTTATGTGCAAGGGAGAACTCAAGCCAGATCCAGAGCACTTGACGCAGAGTGTGAGCAAGATTGCTCTGCTTACTTTGCTATTCCCATTTCATCTTCACATGGAAGCTTGTTTTCATATGGCTTCATGATCTGCTTGGGCTTGCTATGGCTTGCTGATTAGGCGTTTGGGTTTCTGAAAGACTGTCAGTTCGTTCTCACATGGCTTCCGAGCAGCAGAGGCCTCGGCGCAGATAGGGACAAGTTTAGGACAGTTGGGCGTGCCGGTTGGGGCGTGCAGATGATCCCAATGTGAAGGGATCGACAACCAAATCCACCCTTCCTAGTAACGCTGCAAATCTCCCGCTTGAACCCAGCGGAGTCGATTTTCCACTTCCAGGCTGCCCACGCTGGGAACGCGACCGAGCTGGAAGAAACTTTGTCAAGGCCCAGCACGAATTTTTGTGGCGAGGGATTGCATGGTCAGGCATGGTCCAGTCAACAAGTCTTGATTGGGTAAGCTTTAAAGCCTAAGACCCTGATGGTCCACAAAGTACGTCCTGCAGGATCTCTCAAGCCGTTCTGTCTCAAACCATTTTGGCTCAATTGGTCCATGCCCCTGAACTTGAGCCTTGTATTCCGCTCCCTTGGCCCTGCCTTTCCCTGAGCCTCGATCCACACGACATGATGGAGGAGGGAGATTGTTGATGAGTTCTTTGGAAGTCGATGGCCAACCAAATCGTGCAAGTTTGGTGGCGATGGGTGGGCGCGGCCTTGGAGAGGGTCTACGACGCCAAGGCTGCAAGGTGGGCTTGAATCCATTGAGGGGAAAGGCCCAAGAAGCGGCCATCCCTCAGAACGGAGCGAAACCAACAAGTTCCATCAGAAGGAGGGCTTTCGACTAGTTGATAAGCGACCAAAAAGAATTGAGCAGCATCTGCAAACTGGGGCCCACTGACTCGACAAGCTGGAACGGAGGCTTTGGGAAGTAGAAGGCGAACGGCAGGAAGTGAGCTCGAAGCCCACGAGCCCGCCCGGAACTCCCAGGAGTTATTTAGGTGGGACGGGGAGCGCGAAGCCTGAGGCAGACGTTGACCTTGATTGGGGTGGGAAGTTATGGTTAAATGGACAGCAGGTGCTGGGGCACGCCAGCATCAAAGAACCGACCCCTGAGTCCCTCATGGTGACAGCAAGGGGGACGACATGGGGGTACTGGCTAGACCCTGTAGGGATCGAGGCAACGAGGTCAGAACCCATTTCAGGGCTTTGGATAGCTGCTGCTTAAGTCTTCACGTCTATGTTCGCCGGTACTGTTGCACGATTGTCTACTGCATGTGTAGTATGGTATACATATATATATATATACACACGCATGTACATATGTATCTAATCAGTACATGTAGTTCAGCTTTGATATGTGATGTTCGTTCGCAATGTGTAATGTATGTATAGTCAGATTATAGTGCTCATTTTAATTTAGATGTAATGATATATGTATATAGAACATCGAATACATCACATAGTTCCAGATCGTCTGAAGATATGTTGCAATACACTGTACCAAAACATCATGTGTACTGTCTTATAACCTAGCGTTGCCTGGCATATAACTTTGTTGAGTACTTTGCATTGCGTCGTGGATGACATCGAAGCACACCCCCCAAGATTTGAATTTTGCAGCCTGACATCGGCCCTTCAGCCAAATCAATAACACACACTACAACATTATAGAAGTGGGTTGCGGTTTTTTTGTGCCAATAGGACATGCGCAAATAAGCAAAGGCAAGAATCGACCCTTTTTTCCGCCTGGACTGCTTAAACCGAAACAACCAACAAAAGCCATGCAACCCCCGCCTTTGTCCTGTTGAGTCGTCCGGCGGACGCCGTGGCCTCGACAAAGCGCGGCCGTACAGCACTCCATGAAGCGGCCGCTGCGCGACATGACAGATGGATGTGGCATGCAGGTGTTAGCGTTTTGGGTTGCAGGGGTGTTTCTGCGGGGTCCATGGTTGCGGGCACATTGTCCCCACTGCAAGATGTGCTGGGAAGGTAACATTTGGGGCTGTTATTTTTGCGGCTTGCAGTTTCAGATTTCCAACCGCCTACTGCAAGTCATAGTTGCTGTCAGTCCTAAGTTGCACAGCCCTGGCCGCAAGGTTTGGGGGCACACCTCTATGGTTCAGCAGCTGCTCAATGCAAGGGCGGATGTCATGGCATCCGACCGCCTCTAAGACTGGACTAGACGTCTTGTATGTACATACAGGATTGAAGTTTTGCTTCAATTGCTTGATGCAAAGGCCTAGTTTTTAAAACATGCCGGTAGGCTTATTTGCGGGGCCCGTGCAAACCAAGCCCCCAAACCTCCCAAGCCGCTTGGCCGGACGCACAAACACAGCCGTGCTACATCCGCACATTGTTTGCACATTCCGGCACTCTCAGGCTTTGATTGGTGTTGGCGTCAAGACTCTTTAAGCCCAACCCGAATCAAACTACAGAGTTTCGATCGTTTTTTTGCAGCCTTTCAAAGCACGACACTGCTCAAGGAAAAGACCCAAACTAACAGGAATGTCCCATATGGAAGCACTTGTGAACATGCTGTCCCCATAACTTCTAAGGAGAGTCTTTGCAGCCCTCGCACGTGGCAGCGCTTCATGGACATCAGCCCGTTTTGGACGCCAATACCACAGTCACACACCACATGTTTGTGGTTACACGAGACCATGTCCAGATTTTGCGTTGCATGGGCGCCCACGACATGAAAGGCTTAGTCAAAAACCTTGGCAGTCATGACAGTTCTGTGCTGGTTCGAACGAAAGCCAGGTCAAACACTAAAATTGATGAATGGTGCCATGCCCTTCTTCTGGTTTCTTTCGTAGTCAATCCACAACATTGCCTCAAGAACGAATTTGTCAATTTGGCGCGCTCCAGCTCTGGCTTGCTCTATTTGTTTCTATCTGGACAATGCCAGATTTGTTCGGAGGGTACGAATCCGCGAAGCCATTGTTATCGTAAGATGGACTCTTCTTGATGCCAAACTAAGAGTGCTCACCATCGCCGGTGTCCCTGAAGGAGCTGCTTCACCGCACCTCACTGGCGCGAGGTCACAAGCCGTCACCTGGGCTGCTGCACCGCGCGGTAATGCCCCTGGACACCTGAAACATCCAGAAACCCCTGTCACTTGCAGCCCTGACACCATCGAAGCCCAGAATAACTGAAATACTTAAGCAATGGACCATGAACAATGTTTCCTTGAAGCTTCTTGTCGCACACATGCGCCCAGAAGATGTGAAGGAAAAATAAGAAGAACTGTTCCAACATTAGTTTCAAACCTAAACATCCTGTTCAAGACAACCTGACCGGAGAGGCAGGGCCACACCGACCTGGCAGACTTCATCCTGAATTTGGAAGATGCGCGGCTGAGCCGATCAAGTTTGCATCAGCTTAGATCCACGAACCAGAGGAGGAGTTTGAGCTCGGGGCATTTGCCGTGATTTTCGAGGTGTGATTGCGGATGTGTTGGCCAACTTCCGGAAATGCGATGCTTGACAGACAGCTCGCCTAGATTGTAACATGGTGTTTGTTTGAGGGAGCTCAGCATGTGGAAGCCCACCACCGCTGCTAAGGCCAGATGTGTCGCAGCCTTTCGAGCAGGATGGTGCTCAGCCTCTCCACTTCGCGGCCAAGGCGGGCCATGTCCAGGCCGTTCGCTTCCTCTTGAGTCGCGGCGCGCAGCTAGAAGCCACGTCTCCAAAAGAGGGCTTCACCCCCTTACACTTTGCAGCAGCCATGGGCCACGCAGAGGTGGCCCGGCTGCTGATAAAGAAGGGCGGCCGGCAATCCATGGGCAAGAGGGACAGGAGGGGCTTACTCCCGATTCACTTGGCAATCAGGGCCGGGAGCTCCTCCCTGGTCCAGGATTTGATGAAGCACGGCATCCCATCCGACCTAGTACACTTTGCGGCGGAGGGTGGCCGAACGGAAGTCATCCGTAAAGTGCTGCAAACTAAGCCAGACCTTGGCAACACTCTGGACGCGCGCGGTTTCCGACCTTTGCATATGGCCGCCCTCGCAGGCCACTTGGATGTCCTTGGCCTTCTGGTGGGCGAGGGGTTTCCCATCGGCGCCACAGACACACAGGGCTTCACCGCGGTGCATTTCGCAGCCAAGTCTGGCCACCGAGCCGCTGTTCAATATCTGGCCACCATGAGGGCGGACCTGAAGATGCGCTCCAAGGACTGTCCATCGCTTCATGGTTGTGACTGCACTAAGGCATGGCACTGTTCCTCGACTTTTTTTCTGACCGGCACGTATCTATAGAGCTTTTGCGGAAATGAGGAGGGAAGCACGCAATGCATGTTAATATAGTGGTTCATGAAGCATCTCAGCTGGCGATGATTGGGGTCGTTTTTGGTTGTTTCCTCCTCTCCCGGTCGCGCACACTGTTCCGAAGAGCAGGGATAGCTTCATGAAACGTGTACCCTGAGCCCGAGGAGCACAACCACATCCAACAAAACCTCCCAACCATGAAGTGTAAAGGCTCCTCGAAATCCAATAATGTTGCACTGTCTTTAGCGTGGGCCCCCCCCCCCAAGCAAGTTTGGACCCTCCATAAACGTGTGGCCCGGCGACCCCCCCCAAACAAATTTGGGGAGGAGGGGGGGGGGCATCCTGGATTGTACGGGCTCTGGCTCTTTAAGATTCCAAGACAACCAAGCCAGGAGGGCCTCAAGGGGCTTAAGGCCTGAAGCTTTCCTTTCTTGCTTAGGCCGCGCTCCCCCGCCGGGGCTTGGCATTATAGAGGGTTGTCAGACAAATTTACTAAAGACAGTCTGCCCGGCCTGTGGGCTGCCTATCACGAAAGTTGTTTGGGGCCTCGTTTCGTAATGAAATATTCAATAAAGCAGTGAAAGGACAAAAACCTCTTGCGAAGCCTCAGGAATCAGATAAATAAACCTTAAGCCACCCAAACCCTAGACACAAACCTTAAACACCAAGCCTTTAAAAAATTGGCCGTCCGAAAAAAACTTGTGATAATAGCGGGTGCCGTAAACAAACTCGGTTCGCAGAATACATGGTCGAAACTTGTGATCACAGACCCTCCTTACACTAAAGTCAGTCCAACATTATTTGTTTAACGCTGCGAGCATGGCCCAGCTGCCCATACACCAATACCATAGACCTCGGTTGTGCTGTGCAGGATGGCACGACACCCCTGGACGTGGCCAAGAAACTGGGGCATGCAACGCTGCTGGACCTACTCTCACCAGAACTGGCAACGAGAAGCAACGAGCTCTGAGCTCAAGTGTTCGATTGCCTGGAAAAAAGTTCCACGACTGGCGTGCAAGACCGGACGCGGGCAAGTAGTGAACAACGAGTTTCTGGGCTTCTCTGCATGGGACGTCTTCAATTTGCTGGACGGATGCCAACTTCGACAACTTCTCGGGCTCGGCTAAGCAAACCGCGTGGAAAAAGCGCAGGCCGGTCCCAGGTGCAAGGGGCGCAGCCAGCTTCTAGACTATATTTCTTATACTTGGGAGTCCAATATGAACAGCCTTTAGGCCCAAAACCCAAGGTGTTGGGTTAAGGGTTTAGGGTTTAGGCGGTTTAGGTTGAAGGCATATTTCATGCTTGGGCTTTGTGAGAACAGAGGTGTTCAAAGCAAACATTGTCCGGCATAAGAACCCTAAATCCTTGTTTAAGCCCCTAAACTTAGCAAACCTAAAACCCCAAAATCGTGAACCCTAAGCCCTGCGTGATGAAGCTTGGCTCATGTTGTACTGTGAACACCTAATTGGACTCTTGGGACAGTTCCCATGCCTCCTGTACAATGAGCCGGAGGCGCAGCCGAAACATCCAACAAGGTCAAGCCGGGAAGTAGAAAGAACTACCGGAACACACCCTGGACCAAGGCGGCTAACGGTGACTTGTTGAGACCTCACCAGTCTCACCGCTTCGCAAAACTTGCCGGGGTCAGCTGAGCTGCCTGGCGAGATTTTTCAGCCCAGGCACGAAACAAAAGGCATGGTTTTGCTTTAAGTGCATCTGCAGCATTGTACTTCACAACCCCAGTCCTGAGTCGCAAACCCTTGATCCAAGCTCCGCTGAGTCTCCGAAGATGCTAGGGGGGGGGGGGGGGGTAAAGATGCACATGGGAGTGGTCAAGTTTTGAGGCTCTGCAGACGTGCACTGTGCAGCGGTGCGTGCCCCCTCTTGAAGATCACATGCATTCGCACTCTTCGGCCTAGGCAGAAGCAGATTCATCTCATCTTGAAGAAGGGTGAGCCTGGCATCCCGGAGAGCTTGGAAGCGCAAATCGACAGCTCCCTGACGTGTTCGAAATGCCACTGACCATCACAAGCTGCGAATGCCTAATTCACACAGCAAGCAGGAACAAGCAGCATTCAATGCAGGAGGCCTTTGCTGACAAATCATTGTAGAACATCGCTGCTTCACTGAGGCCCTTGACCATCGGCCGTGCGCATCAGACAGAGGCTTTTGAACGCCTGGTTCCGGTACATGCCCCAGAGAGTTGAGACACTGATGTTAGCAGCCGGGCGGTTCTGCATAGAAGATACCTTCTTCTGGGGTCCACCGCACTTGAACAATTGGCCGCTGGACTAGATTTCGCTACCAGTCGCCACCACACTGTCAAGCCCTGGCAAGTCACAAGCTCAAGGACGAAGCCTTGCGAAACTGTGTGTCACGTTCCCACTTCACCCTTACGTGGGATGGCAACCAGCCCAAGCCTCAGAAACAATTTGCTTGCATTTCAGAACTGAAGGCTTCAGGATATTTCAACGAGGACTGTTTGGTTGTTGTTTTTGGACATATGTTTTTGACCCTTGTCCATGCGTTTTTGCGTTGGCTTTCTCTGACTTTTCGGTGGTTTCCTGCTGTTCCGCTTCTCCACTCCGCCGCTTGTTGCTCCGCCTGGTCTACTTTAGCTTCTGCATTTTCCTTACCCTGCCATTTTCAATTTTCATCTTGGGCTCATTCTCCCATTTATTTCGACTGCAGTTTTTCATTAGGCTGTTTCTGTACTACCTCTTGAAGCCGTTGAGGCTCCACGATGATGTAGTCCATCCAAATGTTTCGTTGAATGTGGGTTTGGGTTGCAGGCAATTGTGTCTTCAAAAGTGTTTTCGCCGGCGGGAGACTTCTGAGACGTTGATTGCACTCCAGTCTGAAGGTTCTTTCAAGCATGCGTCGAATCGGACTTTAGACACGGAAGAAGAGCTACCCAACTGCCCAACAGGTTTGTGTTGCACCGCTTCTCTGCAAATGCCATGCTTGTGGCCAGTGCCTCAGAAACGACTTGCAGCCCAAGCGAACCACTCTGCAGCAGACGTCTTTTTGTTCATCTGCATGTTGGGGCAGTGAACTGTGGAAACCTATTCCCTCGCAAGATTGCTTTGTGCTTTCCAACCAAAATAAATGTGGAGAAAATAGAGGTTTCCCTAGTTAAAAAAGAAAAGAGAAATGGGCTCCCCGCAAAAAGGTCGTAAAACCATTCTCCACCCCCCCCCTGTTAACACCTGAAAAACCGCAACAGCCCATCAACGGAAAGGATGGTGTTGCGACGCAGCAGCAGCAGGACCGGTTGTTCCCAAGGTCTTGCACTATGCCAAGGGATGATCTGCTAATACAGGAATCTAGCATGTCTAAGTTATAACCTTAGTGCCATCCATCTTTCAGGCCTTGGATCACAAAACTGGTAAACCACTGGAAACCACGATCTCAGCCCCAAGCCGGAGCTTCAGTCAGTTTTGCTCGAGTTTCAGCCCTGCTAAGCTGCGGACCCGGCTTCTGCACATCATTTCATTTCCGAGAACAGAAGCGGCCCTAGGACACCTTGTGACCCCAGGCACTGTCAAAAGTCCTTTCGTCCAGTATTTTGGATGTAGCTGTACCCTAAACCCTGAACAACAAAACCTAAACCCCAAACCTAAACCCTACGTGTTTTCTTTATCTTGTGCTTTCGCGTTCTGCGCACGGAGGACGTCGCCATCCGGGATGGGTCGTCCTTTGGCTTGTGCAGCGAGGCCGAGGGTCTTTGTTTGCTACAAACACTGCACATCTATGTATATATATATATGTATATATATATATACATATATGCTACCAGTATATAAAGCATCCGGCTGGCTCTGAGCAGCTGGCATCTCAGTGGTCCGGAAAGCACGACTTGACTTGGGCTTATTCAAGGATTTAGCTGCTTGTCCTGTTCATGGGTCCGCTCCAAGACAATAGTAAAGCAAAGACACATGTAGTTGGGAGACCCATCACAGAATTCAATCCATGTAAAACGAGTCTCCTCCTTCAAGTGGCACAGAGGTATATTTTATGCTTATCATCTCATATTCGCACAAATAGATTTCTACTTCTACTTCTAATACTACTACTGCTACTGCTACTACTACTACTACTACTACTACTACTACTACTACTACTATTACTACTACTACTACTACTACTACTACTACTACTACTACTACTACTACTACTACTACTACTACTACTACTACTACTACTACTACTACTACTACTACTACTACTACTACTACTACTACTACTACTACTACTACTACTACTACTACTACTACTACTACTACTACTACTACTACTACTACTACTACTACTACTACTACTACTATTACGAACCACTACCATTGCCACCACCACTACCACTACTACCACTACCACTACCCCTACTACCACCACCACCACCGCCAACACCACGACGACCACGACCACGACCACGACCACGACCACGACCACGACCACGACCACGACCACGACCACGACCACGACCACGACCACGACCACGACCACGACCACGACCACGCCGACGACGGCCACGGCCACGGCCACGGCCACGGCCTCGACGATTGCGATTACTACGATGACGGTTACTACGATGACGGTTACTACGATGACGGTTACTACGGCGACGGTTACTACGGCGACGATTGCTACGACGACGATTGCTACGACGACGATCACGACGACGACCACCACCACGACGACCACGACGACTGTGTATACTAGTATATATCAGCTGTTAGTAAGGTTCTTACGGTTACTTTTTTCATATGATTCGGTTTTGGGCATCGCAGCCGACATTAAAGCATGGTACCATCCCTCCCAAGGGCTGAAGTTGGGCTCAAAGAATATTTGGACAACCCCCATGAAGACCTGCAACGGGCAGCCGCCGCAATGGTCACACGGTATTCAGGGAGTCGTCATCTCTCGTGATGACACACATAGCCGCACCCCCCACCCCCAAAAAACCCTGACGCACAGCACGAGTTATGCGAACCCACTTCGAGCTTCTTTCATTCGACTCTCAACCCTATAGCCTTCGATCAAGGAAGCTGTGTTGGACGCGTGGACCCTGATTGTTCTGCAGGCTAGCAGCCGATCTCCGTTCCTGGTCGGGCACTGAAAGCAGAAGAAGACAAGAGTTTATGCTGGGTGCAACCTCTCCTAAATACGGAGCCGCGTTTTCTCGGGGGCGGTGGCCTTCAGGTATTTACTTTAGCTCTTGTATCGGGGACCTGGGGGCAAATGCAGATCCTCTGTGTGTGTATGCCTGATCCCGCAGAGCGCATGTGCAACAGGGGTGAACAGCACACACATGCAGTTTCATGCAGCAACGTGCCATTCAAGCCCGGGACAATCTGGTACGACATGGCCAACAAGGTGAAAGTTCACTGGCCGGTGAGGGAGAGAGACGGAGAGAGATAGAGCGAGCGAGCAAGAGATACAGAGAGAGGGAGAGCGAGCGAGTAAGAGAGAAAGAGTCCGAGAGCAAGAGGGAGGGGTTGATCAACAATGTAGGGACAGGAGGGGGAGAAGGTGTCTTGAAAACATTTCTCATGCCGAACACAAATCAACAGTAGCATCACCCCGGCGGCTTAAAGGCACAGTATCGTTGATGGGCAGGAGTGGGGGTGGGACCTATGGGCTTTCTGGACCTTCCGCGCCAGCAGGCCTCGTCTGCTCTTTAAGACCCCAAACAGGGGCGCTGCGCAGGGCGACCTTCCTATGTCCCGCGAAAATGAAAGACATGGAAAGAGAAAGTGAACGAGATCAATGAGAGATAGCAGAGAGCCGGAGGCCTTGCTACAGCACCCTTTGCAGCGAGGTCTTTCAAGTGCGAGTCGGCAGCCAGACCAGCGAGCAGGCCATGGGAGTGGGGTGTCATTGACAGCTCACTTCGACTTCCGGTGTTACTGAAGCTGGCATTACACCCGACGTTTCGCTTCCTTCCATGAGAAGGGGTGATGCTAGGCT